TAAACCTCAATTTAGGATCAAGACAGTGTTCAAATTAATTTTCATATCTCACATTGGGAGATTTTTAGTATCGATATACCATTGTCCACAATACCAGTACCATTATTCATCATACCAATACCACTATTTACAATACCATTATTCACAAAACCAGTACCACCACACTCTTAGCACGGAGTCCAATCATGACCCGATCGGCTAGGCTATCTCAGTAGAGACATCAAGCACAATTTCTCTCAATATCAATACCACCGTCTTTAACACGGAGTCCGATCACGACCCGATCGACTAGGCTATCCATTAGGGACATCGACCACAATCACAATTTCAATTACAATTTCCAGCACAATTACCACCATGTGTGCGGCAATGGTGTTCGATCACGACCCGACCGTCTAGACTGTCTTATTTGAGACATCAATCTTTTTATATCAATCATTGCATTTCATAATACTTTCACATCTTTTCATTTCATTAGCACTAGTGGCCATAATTATAAGATCATTCTTGGCACGTAGGCCATATTCAGTATTTCATGCTCACATTATCAAATTCAAATATCATCCTCATCATCAACAACAAACACAATTCAAATCAAAGTGTGTAGTACACATGTGAGCAATTTAGAGTCTAATGCACATTGAGACTTTTCACAAAATTTGGCATAATAGCCTTCATTTGAACTTGACTTAAAATCGAAACATTATTAATGCACAACCCATATTTTACCACATCCTCGATTGGTAACATAACATGAATAGAGCATTTGGGATGCTTGTTGAACATATATCTTTCAAACTAATTTTACTCGGAATAGCCAATTTCATAATGAATCACTCTGGACTTACATAATTTACATGAATATCGTGGGATTCAATTCTAAGAGAAGAGTTTAGCCAACATACCTCACTTGAGTCTCCTTACACTCTAAATATTCCGGAATTCTTAGCAACTTCAATCTATTATAGAAATATAACAAATTGAATTAAAATTAGGAAGGTGATCATGGTTCGAGCTCATTTGAGCATTTTATCAAACACTAAGTGTGCATTAAGGTTCCAAGGTCCCTTTTATGGAGAATTCCATCATCCCACAATCCAATCTTTGCCATTTTTAGCTCAACAATCTTTCTACACCCTTTGATAACACATGCATGTAAAATAAATAACTCTCATGCCCAAAAATTATCTTGCTAGTTACCCACTTTCAGAAAATTTCGAAATTAGGGTTTAGGGTGTAGAATCTTATCTCTAGGATGAAGACCTAGTGAGCTTCCCTTCTTAATCTTCCAAAACTTGAGCAAGAATTGAAGAATAATTATTGAAGAACACCTTCTCACTCTAGGGAACTCTCTCTCACTCTAAAATATCAGATTATGTCTCAAAAATGGCCCAAAGAGTGTATTTAACGAAATAGACTCGGGTTTTAAAACTCAAAAATGGAGCTCCGGAACAAGGTATGCGATCGCATAACTGATATGCGGACCGCATATCGGTCGCATAATTTGTTACAAAATAGCCAAAAGAATTATCTGTGTATGCGGTCACTATGCGGTTCGCATAACTGTTATGCGGTTACATAATGCACCGCATAACAGTTATGCGGTCGCATAGTTGCTTCCAACTGACCCAATTAACTGCCTCACTCTGCGGCCATTATGCGGTTCGCAGAGTGGTTCTGCGGTCGTAGAAATGCACTTTTTCGAAAACTTTTCCTTTACTTTCCGATGCATTGTCCAGCCTAAAAAGTCCGAGCCGCGGCGAGCTTGCTCGCCGCGAAGAATTTCTACAATCCTCAAACATGTAAGCCTAGTCCGACACTATGAAACATTATTTTCTTTGCAAACTTTATCGAGCTTTACACTTAAGTACTTTGAAAATTTTCAGGGTGTTACAATGCACCCATATTCCTGGTGGACATATGCAATACACTCTTTGATCTTTTACCTTATGGACGCTTCAATGTGTGGAATCAAGACAAGAGAAATTAAGTCAACATCCAAGTTGAAGTAATTCCCACTGAATGTGTCCATTTCACAATTGTGGGTGCCAATGTATTTACCCACAACCCACATATTTGTTTTCTTCTTCTTCGCACGCAGCATCCAATTACAACTCATAAACCATCTACGGCAAACAACCTTGTATACATCCGGAGTTGACTCCCATACCGTCATCTCACGACACTCTTTTACGCTGTATATTTTTACCATCCTGTTTAGGCGCGCTTTATCAGGGAAAAGCAAACCCTTTAACAACACTGTTGGTCAAGACTTATCCCACATTGCTGTTCGAATTCCGTCAGTACCCCTTGTGAGGGTATCCACATATGGCATATTTGGCAAATGATCAAGGTAGGGAATCTCCCTTGAATGAAACGGCACGTGGGACTCGTACACTCTTGGTGTAACGGGGGATAGAGCATTCTCCTTCGTTAAATCAGGTCCAGCATTCTCTTCCTCCTCATCATCACCCTCATCAGGGAAGGGTGTGTCATCTCCGCACTCATCGACATTGTTGTCATAATCAGTGTTCTCTTTTTGACTTTGTGCATCTGCCAGATCCCGATTAAATATGTCATCTTCGGGCAATTGAGTCAAGACAGGACGTTCAAGTTGCTCGTTTTCACTGCACAACCAACAAAATAATGAGTTACTCAAATTGATAAATACTTTTCATATAGCTATATCACTTCACTTACAAATCGTAATGTGTTGACATTCCATGATAGACATCATCCTGTTGGTGATGACTCCCGGATGGATCACCATGATCCAACACACCAGAACTATGTATATTCCAACTAGGCATTGGTTCATAACTTATAAAATTTATATCTGGCCAGTACCCACTGTGGAATATATGAGTGTTAATAAAAATTCAATACAGCAAAAATAAACATCGTAATACAAAGGAAAATTGAAGTTTACCACTCGTCTTGTGGATCATGTAAAGTAGGAGAGAAATTATTTTCTCGCTCCTCATTCGCCCGTAAAGATAAGTTTAGATCAGGCCAAACTTTTTCAGCTTGAACCTGTTTGGCTAAAACTGCTCTAAAATAACCACCCGATGACCGGGGGATATCCCTGCTTTACGCAACCTCATTATTGAGAACGTCTTCAGCCTTGACGTACATTTCCAATATTTTTATCAAAAGAAATTCCCAGTATTTATCCGGATTCCTCAAAAAATCACTTAGAGTTTCATCAGCCTCGATGTTAAACTCAGTATAAAAAGTAACCCCTTGCGGAGTGACAGAATACGGATATCTTCCGGTTACTTTAAGGTTCACCGAACATTTGCTCACATTCATTTTTTTACATAACAGTGATACTAATCTATCATACTCCATTGTAAGTGAAAACTTAACATGACACTGTGGAGATAAACTATAGCTTACTGAGTTATTCGCCACCACAACCTCACCCCCCCCAATATAATGAAACCCTTATTCTTCGCTCTTCAGACATTATGANCCCCCCCCCCCAATATAATGAAACTCTAATTTTTCGCTCATCAGAAATTATGACAAAATGCAAACACAACTTAATGAAGAAAAATTTAACAAGACTTGAGAATTTTTCTGAATGAAATTTTACAAAATCCTTAACATATTTAAATAAGGCAATGCCCAATCCGGGGGGTCGAATTTTTTGAGGTATAGCGCCTTAAATAAGGGCGCTATACCCATTTGGATTATTGTTATGTCAGTTAAGAATAGAATAATAATTGGTAAGCCCACAAAATATGTATAGTGCCTTAATAAACGACGTTATACTTACCCGTCTTTTCATATTCACATATAACGCCCCTTAAAAGGGCGCTATATGTATTTTGGTCACTAAGTTTTTTTCCACTAATTTTTGTGTCTTGAGTCCAAAAACTCAAAATTTTGGTTCCGATGTCATTATATACAGGTAAAACCAAGCTCATGATGCACCCCGGCCTCCGACAAGATAAGTCAGGCTCGAGACATGGTGCAAGGGACCGAAATCGAGCCAAAAGTCCCACCGAGCCATAATCCGTGGGCATGACGCCTACCCTCGAGAATGTCGAGGTCATGGTTCCGGAATTGGTCCTGGCCTCGAACGACTTCGAAAAACATTGTTGGACAATTAAGCATAGCCAACAGAAGGTCGAAACATCCGTGACCGGCCGGATATCACGGCGGGAATCGACACGTATCGATAAGGAACCAGCAATCAGTTAATTAGAAGATATTTTTACCTTTTATAGAGTTGTACCTAAAGTAGGACTCCCTTGTAACACGCATATCAAAGCAATATATCGTTATTTTCTCTGTCACTAGCACTTTCTCTTTTTCATTGGTGCCGGCCTTGGTGAGCCCGACTCGAGGATGACTATTTCACTAAGGCTGGAACTATCATACTCGTGTGGTTTGAATTTATTTTATCTTTATTTGTTCAATAGTAACTTAATATATCGCTTTGTATTAAATTAATCCGTGTATTATTAAAATCACTTACAAATTTAATTGTTATCCAATTTTAAAGGTAAACAGTCATTTATAGCCCAACTTCTCGAGGCCAATCTGTTCATTCACTCGTTTGTCACTAGAAGCATGTCCTATGTTTTGCTCACTTGTTTGCCACTAGAAATACTTTAACTTCTTTTTCGTTGGACAAATTTAACGTTATAGAACTCTGAGTAATCACTGTCAGAAAAAGTCAGAGGAGCATATTTGAACCTTTTTTATAAATATTTTGACCCGTAACTAAGAACAAATATAACATGATTTGCTAATAGTATGATGGAAGGTAATTTTAAAACGTTTCTAATAATAATAGGGTAAATATAAACATTTTCAAATGAAGAATGGAACAGTGAAGCGCACAATAGAAAGAAGAGTGGATTAGATAGTATATTATGAGGCTGGGGTTTGCCTAGCAATTTCCCCCTACCGACAGTGACAATTATACATCATAACTTTTTTCAATATAGCTAAGTATATATTACCCCACAAGGACAAAGCTCATGAATGGTCAGGAAAGAGGGAGAGAGAGCAAAGACCCTTTGGGCCTGGGGAAGCAGGCATGTGTATCAGTGGGGGACACTCTTCACTACTCGTATATCATAACAAACTCCCCCCTATGAATTATTGTGCTGAATGACATATCAAGAAGATTATTTTAATATAAGTGCTACCTCCCCCCTAACACTTGGAAGTCACAAGACATGATTTCTAGCCCTTCTAAACCTCAATTTAAGTACCAGAATTTTTAGTTGTTCTAGTTTTATACATATTGTAGCTTTTTCTTCTTCTTCTTCTTTCTCTGTTGTTGAAACATGCCTAAACCTGGTCCAAGACCCTATGAATGTGTTAGGAAAGCTTGGCATAGTGATAGACACCAACCAATCAGAGGTTCCCTTATTCAAGAAATTTTCAGGTACTTTTTTTTTCCTTTCCAATCATATTAATACATATTCAAAACCATTTTCTTTATTAAAGAAAAGAGAAGTTGTTTTTATGATTGCTTATGTCTGTTGAGAGTAGGATTGTGAATGAGATACATGGTTCAGCAACTAAGAAGAACAAGGAATGGCAAGAGAAGCTCCCTATAGTTGTCTTGAGAGCTGAGGAAATTTTGTATTCCAAGGCCAATTCTGAGGTTGAGGGTCTAATGCTTTTACCAATTTCCCCTTTTTTCTTAACTATCTATTTTGTGTATTATTCTTACCAATTCTTGTTTGCATAGGCTGAATATATGGATCTTAAAACTCTTTGGGATAGATTGCGTGATGCAATTGACACTATTATTAGAAGAGATGATAGTACTGAATCAGAATCTAGAGACCTCTTGCAACCTTGCATTGAAGGTACCCTTGATCTTCCTTTCCTTTTTTTCATTTTTCCTGTGCCAATAATGATTTTCAGTTTGCAATGCGACAACATCTCCATTCTAACATTTCAAGTTCTGTAATTTGTGACTTACTTTCTTTAGAAGTTGCCTTGGAAGGGGAGCTTTGCCGTAAATGGTAAAGTTGTTGTCAAGTGACCAGAAAGTTACGGGTTCGAGCCGTTGAAACAGCCTCTTGTAGAAATGCAGGGTAAGGCTGCTTACTATACACCCTTGTGGTACGGCTCTTTCCGGACCCCGCATATAGCGAGAGCTTAATGCACCGGGCTGCGTTTCTTTAGAAGTTGGGATTCTGGTTCTTGATACAATTGTTTAGTTATGGTTCTGGTTAGTGGATGATTTGATTGAAACATATTTTTGGTTGCATGATTGATTAGCTGCTTTGCATTTGGGTTGCTCTCCAAAAAGATTATCAAGAAGCCAAAGGAACAGTTCTCCAAGATATTATCTAAGCCCTTTAACTCCAGAGTCTAACTCTGGAAATTCCCATGACAAAAATAGAGGAAATCCTATTCCTAGCAGTCCATTTTTCTCCAAAGATCATAAATTTATATCAGCCACAATAAAAATTCCAAACCCTTCTAGCTCAGAAGCTAACAAAATGTTTCCTTTCTCAACTCTGAAATTTCCTCCATCTGTTGGTATACAAACTTTGCCAATGCAGACTGCTCGTGCCTCGCCTAATTCTTGTTCTATGTATCCTTTGTATTACGGTTCTCAATTTGAACCTTCTGGTCACAAATTTGGCTCTAGACGTGATCCCGATTCAAATGCTATGCTTGTGGATGATAACAAGAGGTTTGCTCCAAGAAATCCTCAGTCATGTAACTTAAACGCTTCAAACGTAGCTTCTCGGGCAGATTGTGAAGATGTAATTGGGTGTGACTTATCGCTGCGTTTGGGTTCTTTTGTGGTTCCGTGCACTAGTGTTGACAACACTTTGCCTGAGAAGAACAAAGATGGTGATATATGCAAGTTGAATGATCTAACTCCACAATTCAACAGAGGTTTGTCTTTCTTCTTTAAGGAAAATGCTGATAAAAATCAGCTCGAATCATCTTCAAGAAAAACGAGCTCCAATGGAAAAAATATGAAAGTAGCGTCAGTTTTGGAAAAGCGAAAGCTCGTTGAGGATCAGCAGATTTATTGGCCGGTGAAGCTCCCTTTTACCAAGTTCAGGTCATAGGTTATTAACTTTTCAGTAGTTACTTTGACAAATTTTGGAATAGGAAAGTGATAATCTGTGTGTTGTAGTCTCCTAGCTGTAGTTTTGCATTTGCTTTGATGAGGTTTGTTTGGAACTTTGTATGCTGCAAACTGCTCCTTTTTGAAGTGTTTAAACTTTAAATTCAATGAGTTCCAAATCCTTGAAGAAAAATCCAATGCTTCTTTCTTTGTCCGCTTGACTTTTACATTCAAGATCCATGACCAAAAAAGGGTAGCCCGACTAAGCTCCCGTTATGCGCAGGGTCCGGGGAAGAGCCGGACCACAAGGGTATATTGTACGCACCTTACTTTGTTTTTCTGCAAGAAGCTGTTTCAACGGCTCGAACCCGTGACCTCCTGGTCACATGACATCAATTTTACTGGTTACACCAAGGCTCCCCTTCTCTGTATACATGGCCATAATGGTCCAAAAATTAGACCACACTATAAACTGTGGCAGTAATGATGTGGTGGGAGTCAGGATGAAGTAATTGATAAAGAAGGTCTTGTTGCTTTTGAAGTGAAATGAAGGGTCTTTTTCAGAAAAGTCCCACTTTTGAAGTGTTGATATCAATGAATTCCAAATCCATGTAGAAAGAAGATCAAGTGCTATTTTCTTTGTGAACAAGGCTGTTTCTCTGCTCTTAATCTTCATTTGGTATATCTGTACTTTAAAAGAGAGGTGGGGGCTGGGAAGGAGGCATCTGCTTGTGATTCTTGCATAAACCCCACTTGGATTGTACATTCAAGATCCATGAACAAAGCCAAATGGTCCCAAAATAAAAAGATAAGACCACACTATACATACACTGTAGAAGTAATGAAGTAGGGTGTAAGGGATGAAATTATGGACAGGGACCTTGTTGCTTTCCAACTGAAGTGAAGGATCATTTCACAAGATCTGGTTACTGAAATGGGGATAACTGGACCCCCTTCTACTAGTATTTTCTTTCGGTACATCTGGTATTTATATGAAACTAAGTAATGCAAAACATAGTGTGAGCGTTATCAAGTTAAGTGACATGTATTTTTACTTCAATTATTTACTAGTAAGGTTAAATTGCTTAATTACGTGTAACACAGTGTGAGTATCACACCTTTGTCTTTTTCTTTGTGTGTGTGTGTGTGTGTTTTTTTTCCTTTTCTAAAAAACCAAGTGCTGGAAATGATGTTAGTGAAAGGACTGCAGTTTTGCACATGACCTATTTTCTTTTTACTTCTATTGTATGAGTTGAGTGAGTGATTTTCACACTTTATATACCATCATAGTTCTTGATTCGAAAGCCACTATGTCACAGGCAGATTTTTTGAAATCTTTTTTATGGACTTCATAAGAAAGAGGGGCCCTTTAGTGGTGACATGAGTCATGGAGTACATTGATATAAAAGTTTTGTACCTAAAGTTAAACATTTATTCAAATGCATTTACCATCACAATTTTTAATTTCATTTCTTGAAAGAAATTTTCTGTATAAATGAGCTTTCTATTCTGCCTAAACTTAGAGATTGATAATATGGTTATTGAGCTTGCCATGTTCATGCTACTAATCTTTTCAATACCACTATTTTGTATATAGATCCATGATCTATAACATTTTATAGAGATGAGTTTAAGTTTTATATGCTGATAACATAAAAGATTTTTACACTATTAGTGTAATTAATTAGTTATAACAAGTTATTACATATAGGGGTCGTTTGGTTGCGAAAAAAATTATCGCAAGATTAATTATCTCGGAATTAGTTATTCCATCATCTTATAGGTATAAAAATAACACGACAGTTCCGGGATTAGTTATACCACGATTTTATCTCAACCAAACGTAAGATAAATTCATCTCAAATTTAATCCTGAAATTAATTATCCATTATCTCTTACCATTTCTTGAAACATTAATATGGATGTTATTAATGTTTGTCCTTCTAAGTGGCAACATTAAACAAACTCTTGCCTCGAAACCACCCCCAAATAGGGCCAGTAATTCATGAAAAAACTGAATAACCATTATCTACTGGTTTCAGCAGGCCAGCAGAGAAGATTGTCTGCTCCAGTACCTAACAAAGCAGTCAGAGAAAGAAATGTCAAAAACAATGTCTTGAATTCCGGGGTCCTACCTGTCTAGTTATCTTTCTTGTATTTTCTTAGAAGGATAAGTACATTAATGGAAAAAGAAAAATACAAACATTACTGAAAATATTCTCCTCGCTTATGGTGAAAGTTGTTTTTTAACAACCATTGCAACTTTTACTTCATATTACCTGTTGTAGTTAATCTTAATACTAAAAAGACTTCGTATCAAAGTGGAGGCAGCGCTTCCATCTTAAATGGGCCTAAGCAGCGCAATGGTTAAATAAAAAAACAGAGAAAAGGTTGGGCAAAATTTGGATTCAAATTTTATGGGATCATCAAGGTTCTCAACGCTGAACCCATCTTATTTTTAAAATTATGGATTCATATCTATTATTTTATTGTAATTTAGTGAATTTTAAACATATATTTGTGCTTCATGTTGAAAGTATGGGGTTCGGATGAACTAGTTACTGCAACTTTGCATCTGCCCCTAAATTTTTCTGTGGTTGCATTTGTCTTTTATAGCATGTTTGGCCAAGTTTTTCAAGTCCAAAAGCACTTTTTTTTTCAAAGTTGAAATGTATTGGCCAAGCTTTTAACAATGCTTTTGACTAGAAGCAAATGCAGTTTTGAAGAAGCAAAAAAATAATAATTTCTCCCTAGAAGCACTTTTTTGAAAAACACATTTGAGAAAAATATACTTAGAAATACTTTTTAAAAGCTTGGTCAAACACAAATTGCTGCTCAGAAGTAATTTTCAAATTAAGTAGTCAAACACAAATTGTTTCTTACCAAAAGTACTTTTGAGAAAAAACATTTCTCAAAATAAGCTGATTTTAGAAGTTTGGCCAAACAGGTTATTAATGTCCTAAAATGGTTGTTATGTTCTATCATTCGAATGATATAATGGACTAATCAACCTCAAGTAATATATACGTTTTCAATAAGGAAAGTTTACAACGACACTTTCTGTTTACATGAATTTTATGTACAATAAATCACCTATCAATCTGATAATTTTCTTCTCTGAAGTTTTAATTGAGAATACACCAACTGAAGAAATGCTGTCTTCTATTAAATCCACTAGTTCTGGACACGCCCGTTGCGCGTACAACTCATATTAATGAGTACAGAGTTTATAAATTACAAGAATATTATTTAGACATATAATTGTGTTATGAAATAAAAATTGTTAAACTAAAGAAATAAACTGCCTCACTAAATTTTTTATCAGATATATGGGTTATGTATTTTGTTTAGAAGATCGAACAGAGCAGCACGATGTGTATGTTGACTTGTATCCACATTGCTCACAGTATTTTCGCCCTTTCA